ACCCCTTTCCACACCCCAAGTACTCGGGGAACGCCATCCTCTTGAGCAAGCGACACAAGATACCGCCCGAGGACCCTTGGCTGCGCGTCTGCTGCCGCTGTGGCACCGGGTACCCAGTGCTGCCCTCGGGCCACAGCATCCAAGACGAGGAGTGTCGCTTCCACTGGGGCCGGCTGCAGTCCGCCCATGCGGCCAGCGGCTGGAAAACGCGCCACCTGTGCTGCTGGGCCCCGGTGGGCTCGGTCGGCTGCCAGGTGGCCAAGCGCCATGTCCAAGACGGCCGGAAGGAAAATCTCCGGGGCTTCGTGAAGACCAAGGACAAAGTGCGGTCTCATCCCGCCCAGCCGGGCATCTATGCCGTGGACTGTGAGATGTCTTACACCACGCTGGGCCTGGAACTGACACGGGTCACCGTGGTGGATGCCCACATGCGACTCGTGTTTGATGCTTTCGTCAAGCCCGAAAACGAGATCGTGGATTATAACACCAGGTTCTCTGGGGTGACCGAGGCCGACCTCGCCTGCACCAACCTCACACTTGGCGATGTCCAGGCCGTGCTGCTGAGCCTCTTCAGCGCCGACACCATCCTTGTGGGGCACAGCTTGCAGAGTGACCTGCTGGCCCTGAAGCTCATTCACCACACGGTAGTGGACACGGCTGTGCTTTTCCCGCATCATCTGGGCCTGCAGCTCAAGCGCTCCCTCCGCGATCTCGCGGCCAGCTACCTCCACAAGACCATCCAAAACCACGAGCGTGGGCATGACTCTTGCGAGGATGCCCGCTCCTGCTTGAGCCTGGTCTATTGCAAAATCCTGCAAGATGCCAACAAGAATGACAATTCCGGCCTGGGACCCTGAAGCCCTGGTCTTGCCTGGAACTCCTTTTCGCCTTGCCGGAATACGGCCAACTAAGAGAAACGGAAGGGACCTCCTGGCATGCGAGGGGACAAAACAGTGCCTCCGACCCTGGAGTCTTGAGCTCCCCTACATTGGCTCCTTGGGTCTATCCTCATGTCTTCTCTCTTACACATCTCTGCTCTTGGTGGAGATTGCTGATTCCACCGGCTGCAAGACTGGGACAGGTTTGAACTACCTACCCCCAGCCCCAGGAGGCCCCTCCGTGTTTGGCCACCGAAACTCCTTTTGAGAGACCTGACTTCCGCTCATTCGGACTTCATTTGCAATCGTTTTCATTGTGATTATTGGTGACGACTTGCACAAGTCCTCTGTGCTGCCTTTCCTCTTGGAGATCTGAAGATTCAGCACGCAGAATTGCCGTCTGTCACAGTCATTCCACTCGAATGGAGAAGCTGTGGGAGGAAAGAAATTCCCATGTCCAGATCACCTGCTCCTGAGGCGATTTCATAGAATCAGCACAACGAAACAAGTCGGCCTTCTCCGCAAGACTATTTGGACTCTCGAGTGATGAGACTGCCAACCCGGACTGAAGACTGACTTTATACAGAAACTGCCTCTGCTTAGAGCCCAGCGGCTCTCAGGAATGTGAAGATACTGGTCAAACGTCTCTTACCTAATGTTCTTTTTCTTATAAAACCTCTAACATTTATTTTTCTTAGTGTATTCTTTGATTATTCTTTGATCAATGCCCCCTAACAATTTTATTCTCTGAATATACCAGAGCAATGCCCCCTCCCCAACTAAGCATGTGTGTCCGATTATATTCTTACATTTTATGCACAAATAAAATGATTGTATTGATGATTGCTCTGTGTGTTTTTGCTTGACTTTGATAAGGGTTGGGGAATGAATTAGACTTAGATCGGAAGCTCAGTAGCCACGTGTGACTAAATGGCCCAGAGCACCAGAGGACTGGGCCTACGTAAGGGCATTAAGGTAGCACCATGGAGACAATGGGATATCTGGGAGAACTTTTCCTTTGCTTTGGTTTGCAAATGATTAGTCTAGCACTTCATGCAGAGTAGGTGTTCAATGAACATTGGTTAAAAGGATGAATGGGGTGGAGTTCAGTACCCAGGGCCCCCTGGCTTTGTGTGTGCTGTGATAGGATCCTGATTTGGTTTCCTTGAGCTGATGCAGGATTTAGCCCTCAGCATCCTATGCTCTGGGGCTAAGAGGGCTGCAACTGAGTCAGGTCACTCTGTAAGCCTTTGGAAAGGATTGGGTTTGGCCGTCGGGGTGTGGTCTTGGCCGTCGGGGTGTGGTACCATTATTGAATCCTGGGGAGGGAGAGAACCCACAGGCACAGAGGTGTGCGGTGAGGGGGCTTTCCTAGAGCCTGTGTAGCTGTGTGTGTCTCCAGAATCAGGAGCAAATTTAACCTATATGGGCCCAGCTCCATGGCCTAGCGGCTAAAGTTCTTATGATTAACAATAATCCTCAGCTATTCTGGAAAACTGACTCTGTGTTAGTTCCAGTCTAAGTACTCAATGAATAGACTTAATCTTCCCAAGAATCCTGAGATATTTAGTGTCCTAAGTCATACATTCAACTGCAGGACAATGAGCATTTTCGTGTTTAACAACTGACCCAAGACCACAGAGCTCACAATTTATTTTTTTTAAATTTTATTATTTTGATGTTTTTAAAAAATATTTTTAGGATGCAGTTCCTTAAAGCTCAGGGATTTCTCCATCTACCCTTCCCAACACCCATTCTGTCCCAGTATTTTCCCCTATATTCTAACAACCATAAACCCATCCTTCTGCTATTGAAGTGTGTCCCTAAGGCCACAGAGTACCCCAGCCACACACAGCTGTTTACAAAGAGTCACATGGAAAAGCCGCCAGAGCGCGATTCCGAGATGAAGGAAGCAGCGGCCTGCTCCGGCATTTGACAGGATGAGGTCTATTTGAACAATACGACCAATCTGATGACAAATGGACAGAATGAGCAAAGGACCCTAAGCACTCCGTGAGCCTGAAGCCTGTGACAACGCCCTAGCTGGACACTGGTGGAACCTGTTGGGATCCAAGTCGATGATCGGTGAGAAGCAGGCGGGTCCGTTTCTGACGATGTTGCTGATTCTCCAGTTCTATTCTGTAGTAAATTGAGAAAATGTCCCCAAAGCCATAAGCCTGAAGATTGGCCTTGTGTACACACGTGAGCTCTCTCTCTCACACACACACACACACACACACACACACACACAAACACAAATGCACACACACAAATGCACACACAGAAATGCACACACACACAAACACACATGAGACACACACAAGCACACACGAAGCACAAACACACACAAGACAATAAGCACACAACACACAAATGACACACAAATACACACTTGAGACACACACACACACACACACCAGAATGAGAGTCAGAGGAAAGCCGATGTTGAGAACAAGCTATTTCTTCTTCTTCTTCTTTTTCTTTTTTTAAGATTTATTTATTTTTATTGCAAAGTCAGATATACAGAGAAGAGGAGAGACAGAAAGGAAGATCTTCCGTCCGATGATTCCCTCCCTCAGTGAGCACAACGGCGATGCTATGCCAATCCGAAGCAGGAGCCTCTTCCGGGTCTCCCACGCGGGTGCAGGGTCCCAAAGCCTTGGGCCGTCCTCTGCTGCTTTCCCGGGCCACAGGCAGGGAGCTGGAAGGGAAGCAGGGCTGCCGGGATTAGAACCGGCGCCCATATGGGATCCCAGGCGTGCAAGGCGAGGACCTTAACCACTTGTGCCACCGCGCCGGGACCCAGAGATTCTTTATTATCAAGGACATGTCTGTAATTATTCAGGCTCCTTATCCTCACTCAGTGCTTAACCATTAGGCCCATTATGTTTTCACCCAAACTTCGTGTGCATCTCTATCATGTCACACTTCTTTCTTTCTTTCTTTTTAGAACAATCTTTCTCAGTAAATCTGGACAACTCTGTTCGCTTTCGCTTTTGACTGTGAATTCATTGAATTATATAATCTACTTTTGGCATTATGTTCTATAAAATCTTGTGTTATTTTTGTATTCTTGCATGTGCATATAAGTCTTATTGACTTAATAGTGTAAATACTTTCATAGTAAACATACGGGGTATACATTTTTTTTTGTTCAGACTGCTTTTCTTCTTCAATTGGGAGGCACACAGCAAATGCCATTCCATTGCCATTTTATTAATCCAAGTCCATTATCAATTGTAAATTCATTCATGTTTTTTAAACCAAACTTTGACTTTTTTTTTTTTTTTTTGGCTACTGGTGTCTTTGATCAGGTTAACTTTTCTCCTTGTTATCCCTAGGAATTTAGGTCAATTTGTATGGATGATGAGAAAGCAGGGTTTACATCTTGATCTTTTCAGGTTTCTCTAAAACTTCACCTAAACTAGGTTTTTGACAACTAGAGAGCCTACTTCCTTGATACTGTCACCGCCTTCAATTTGTCTAGAGCTCCTAAGGAATTGCCTTGTAATTTTACTAACTTCCTTTTCAAACTTACCTTGATTTTGCAAGATGAGGGGGCAAAAAAAGTTGAGGTTTTCAGCACGATTCTCACAGGCCCTACCTGCCAACTCCACCTGCAGAAAACAGCTGTGTTCACCTGTGCCCTCTTGTGCATGAATTCAACTTTTTTCAACATCTGGGACGGCAGCAGATACTGCCAACATCCTGCCTCGAAGAGCCCACAGGGGTTGGGAAGGGGTGGGGTTGTTCTTCCAGCCAGCAAGGAAGAACAACCCTAAAAGCGGACCCCAAAAAACCAGCAGGGGGCCGCCCTGCTCGGCCCATGTTGTGTCATGTGATTTTTGGCAAAAATTCCGTCAACCGAAAGCCTGGATTTATTTTTCTGGAGTGTCGTGGCAGTAACGGTTGTGGTAGTGAGATGGTAAGGTGTCTGCGGCTCAGTGGCCACACCCATCTCTGGGAAAGAGATGTCAGCAATTTTGGAGATTGATTACCGATAATAATTCAAAGGAAATTGGATTACGCCCCACCCTGATCTACATACAGGCCCTGCCTATATAAGGAAGGGCCAAAGGAGCCCAGTCTTGTGCCGGCGACGCTTGCAGGCTCAGAGGCAGGATGGGTAAGAGAGCCACCGCATCCCGTTCCTTCCCGCTGGGATACCAGGAATTCCAGAGGACCATTGCACCTGCTGCTTGCTCCAGCAAGGCTTTCGCGCCCTCCTCTTCCACCCCTGCCTCGAGGGGCTGGGTCACGATGACTGAGACACGCGTCCAGGACCCCACATTTGTCATCCCTAAGGCAGACCTGTGGGCACCCAAGGCGTGCACTCGCACAGAGAAGATGCCCACAGTCACCACCGTGGCCTGCAGGCCAATCGCGTCCAGCACAGCCTCTTGCAATGTCAAGAAACCCATCCTATCTGCAGCCTCCAAAAGTGAAGTCTGCTCCAGCGGCCGCCAGCGTCCACTGGGCTTCCAGCGATGTCTCCATTCCAGCCTTTGGAAGCAGGAAGCCAGGGAGAAGGTCGTGGCTTACAATCGCAGGCGCGGCGAGAGAATGGACCACGCAGACTCCGGCGGCGGTAGGGCCGTGGACACCCTCTGGAGGCCCAGGGATCTAGCGCCCAGCGCCTGGCCCAGCGCCTGCAGTGTCTCCTTGTACGACCTCTTCAGCCGCTACCAGCTCACGGAGGATCAGCTCAAGGAGAACGGCTACCCCTTTCCACACCCCAAGTACTCAGGGAACGCCATCCTCTTGAGCAAGCGACACAAGATGCCGCCCGAGGACCCTTGGCTGCGCGTCTGCTGCCGCTGTGGCACCGGGTACCCAGTGCTGCCCTCGGGCCACAGCATCCAAGACGAGGAGTGTCGCTTCCACTGGGGCCGGCTGCAGTCCGCCCATGCGGCCAGCGGCTGGAAAACGCGCCACCTGTGCTGCTGGGCCCCGGTGGGCTCGGTCGGCTGCCAGGTGGCCAAGCGCCATGTCCAAGACGGCCGGAAGGAAAATCTCCGGGGCTTCGTGAAGACCAAGGACAAAGTGCGGTCTCATCCCGCCCAGCCGGGCATCTATGCCGTGGACTGTGAGATGTCTTACACCACGCTGGGCCTGGAACTGACACGGGTCACCGTGGTGGATGCCCACATGCGACTCGTGTTTGATGCTTTCGTCAAGCCCGAAAACGAGATCGTGGATTATAACACCAGGTTTTCTGGGGTGACCGAGGCCGACCTCGCCTGCACCAACCTCACACTTGGCGATGTCCAGGCCGTGCTGCTGAGCCTCTTCAGCGCCGACACCATCCTTGTGGGGCACAGCTTGCAGAGTGACCTGCTGGCCCTGAAGCTCATTCACCACACGGTAGTGGACACGGCTGTGCTTTTCCCGCATCATCTGGGCCTGCAGCTCAAGCGCTCCCTCCGCGATCTCGCGGCCAGCTACCTCCACAAGACCATCCAAAACCACGAGCGTGGGCATGACTCTTGCGAGGATGCCCGCTCCTGCTTGAGCCTGGTCTATTGCAAAATCCTGCAAGATGCCAACAAGAATGACAATTCCGGCCTGGGACCCTGAAGCCCTGGTCTTGCCTGGAACTCCTTTTCGCCTTGCCGGAATACGGCCAACTAAGAGAAACGGAAGGAACCTCCTGGCATGCGAGGGGACAAAACAGTGCCTCCGACCCTGGAGTCTTGAGCTCCCCTACATTGGCTCCTTGGGTCTATCCTCATGTCTTCTCTCTTACACATCTCTGCTCTTGGTGGAGATTGCTGATTCCACCGGCTGCAAGACTGGGACAGGTTTGAACTACCTACCCCCAGCCCCAGGAGGCCCCTCCGTGTTTGGCCACCGAAACTCATTTCGAGAGGCCTGACTTCCGCTCATTCGGACTTCATTTGCAATAGTTTTCATTGTGATTATTGGTGACGACTTGCACAAGTCCTCTGTGCTGCCTTTCCTCTTGGAGATCTGAAGATTCAGCACGCAGAATTGCCGTCTGTCACAGTCATTCCACTCGAATGGAGAAGCTGTGGGAGGAAAGAAATTCCCATGTCCAGATCACCTGCTCCTGAGGCGATTTCATAGAATCAGCACAACGAAACAAGTCGGCCTTCTCCGCAAGACTATTTGGACTCTCGAGTGATGAGACTGCCAACCCGGACTGAAGACTGACTTTATACAGAAACTGCCTCTGCTTAGAGCCCAGCGGCTCTCAGGAATGTGAAGATACTGGTCAAACGTCTCTTACCTAATGTTCTTTTTCTTATAAAACCTCTAACATTTAGTTTTCTTAGTGTATTCTTTGATTATTCTTTGATCAATGCCCCCTAACAATTTTATTCTCTGAATATACCAGAGCAATGCCCCCTCCCCAACTAAGCATGTGTGTCCGATTATATTCTTACATTTTATGCACAAATAAAATGATTGTATTGATGATTCCTCTGTGTGTTTTTGCTTGACTTTGATAAGGGTTGGGAAATGAATTAGACTTAGATCGGGAGCTCAGTAGCCACGTGTGACTAAATGGCCCAGAGCACCAGAGGACTGGGCCTACGTAAGGGCATTAAGGTAGCACCATGGAGACAATGGGATATCTGGGAGAACTTTCCCTTTGCTTTGGTTTGCAAATGATTAGTCTAGCACTTCATGCAGAGTAGGTGTTCAATGAACATTGGTTAAATGGATGAATGGGGTGGAGTTCAGTACCCAGGGCCCCCTGGCTTTGTGTGTGCTGTGATAGGATCCTGATTTGGTTTCCTTGAGCTGATGCAGGATTTAGCCCTCAGCATCCTATGCTCTGGGGCTAAGAGGGCTGCAACTGAGTCAGGTCACTCTGTAAGCCTTTGGAAAGGATTGGGTTTGGCCGTCGGGGTGTGGTCTTGGCCGTCGGGGTGTGGTACCATTATTGAATCCTGGGGAGGGAGAGAACCCACAGGCACAGAGGTGTGCGGTGAGGGGGCTTTCCTAGAGCCTGTGTAGCTGTGTGTGTCTCCAGAATCAGGAGCAAATTTAACCTATATGGGCCCAGCTCCATGGCCTAGCGGCTAAAGTTCTTATGATTAACAATAATCCTCAGCTATTCTGGAAAACTGACTCTGTGTTAGTTCCAGTCTAAGTACTCAATGAATAGACTTAATCTTCCCAAGAATCCTGAGATATTTAGTGTCCTAAGTCATACATTCAACTGCAGGACAATGAGCATTTTCGTGTTTAACAACTGACCCAAGACCACAGAGCTCACAATTTATTTTTTTTAAATTTTATTATTTTGATGTTTTTAAAAAATATTTTTAGGATGCAGTTCCTTAAAGCTCAGGGATTTCTCCATCTACCCTTCCCAATAGCCATTCTGTCCCAGTATTTTCCCCTATATTCTAACAACCATAAACCCATCCTTCTGCTATTGAAGTGTGTCCCTAAGGCCACAGAGTACCCCAGCCACACACAGCTGTTTACAAAGAGTCACATGGAAAAGCCGCCAGAGCGCGATTCCGAGATGAAGGAAGCAGCGGCCTGCTCCGGCATTTGACAGGATGAGGTCTATTTGAACAATACGACCAATCTGATGACAAATGGACAGAATGAGCAAAGGACCCTAAGCACTCCGTGAGCCTGAAGCCTGTGACAACGCCCTAGCTGGACACTGGTGGAACCTGTTGGGATCCAAGTCGATGATCGGTGAGAAGCAGGCGGGTCCGTTTCTGACGATGTTGCTGATTCTCCAGTTCTATTCTGTAGTAAATTGAGAAAATGTCCCCAAAGCCATAAGCCTGAAGATTGGCCTTGTGTACACACGTGAGCTCTCTCTCTCTCTCACACACACACACACACACACCTAAGCACACACACACAAACACACAGATGCACAAACACACACACACACAAATGCACAGAGCACGCAAACGCACACAAAGAGAAACACACACATACCACACACAATTACACCCAGAGGCACACACAGGAGACAATAAGCACAGAATCACAGGAGACACAGAAATGCATACTTGAGACATATATGAGACACACACATACACAAATATATACAAGACATGCTTGGCCCACACATGGCACACACACACCAAAATGAGACTCAGAGGAAAGCCGATGTTGAGAACAAGCACTTACTTCTTCTTCTTCTTTTTTAAAAAGATTTATTTATTTTTATTGCAAAGTCAGATATACAGAGAGGAGGAGAGACAGAGATAAAGTCTTGTGTCGATCATTCGCTCCTCAAGTGAGTGCAATGGCTGGTGCTGCACTGATCCAAAGCGAGGAGCTACAAAGTTCTCTGGTCCCCTTACAGATGCGCGATCTAATTGCGTTGTTCCATCCTTGACTGCTTGTCCAGGCCACAAGCATAGAGCTGGATGTGAAACAGGCCTGTCAAGATTAAAACCAACACCCCTGTGGGATTCCGGAGCGTGCAAGATGAGGGCTTTAGCTGCTAAGCTACCTCACCAGGCCCAAGCTCTCTCTTCTGAAATGCCTACATGCAGTGTCCCGTTGGTAAAGTCACAGTAGCTGTGAACAAGGGACTAATGGTAGTGATGATTTTCTAAGTTCTTTAATCCAAGTGGGGTAAAAACAAAATACAAAACTAAACGAAACAAACACCTTCCTGAACACGTCTTAAGTGTTGTGATGTATTATTTTTCAGAGTAAACGCACATCAAGGTATAAAATAAAGAAATTTAGCAATTGGTTAAAAAAAGAAGAAGAAAAGCAAGTAAATTAACTCCTATATTGCCCTCAAAATGGAGTTTGTAAATTGATGTCAGTTTTATCTTTGTGAAATTCAGTGATTTACACATCCAGCCCTTGTAGCCTGCAAAAATTTCTGAACCACAATGCATGGATTCTTTTGAAGAGAAAAGAAAATTAAAAAAAAATTATGCAAACACATTTTTTTAAAAAAAGTTCTTGTGCAGTATTTGTACAATAAATAATGTATTTAGCAGGACAAATGAATTATTTTCATATAAATATGGAAAATGGAAAAAAATCTTCCTCGTGTTGGTTCAGTCCACTAATGACTAATGTAAGAGGTGAGCTGATACAGAGTGAAGAGCCAGGATCTTTTTCCAGACTCCCATGATGGGGTGGTGTCAGGACTTTGAGCTGTTCTCTGCTGATTTCCCAGGCTATGGAGCAAGGAACTAGATTGGCAGCAGAACAGCTAGGACATGAACCGCCATCTGTATGGAATGTCGGCACTTGCAGGTAGAGGATTAACCACTGAGCCATAGTGCTGGTCCAAGAGCTCACAGATTCTAAGGTAAAAGGCCAGGAACCAGAATTTGCCCATCCCTACCTCCAAGGTTGGTGTGTGTGTTTGTCTGGAGGGGAAACTCCTGGGCTCATAATCATATGGGAATGCCCTCTTTTTTAAAAAAAAAAAATAAGATTTATTTTATTTTCATTACAAAATCAGATATACAGAGAGGAGGAGAGACAGAGAGGAAGATCTCCCATCTGATGATTCACTCCCTAAGTGAGCGCAACGGCCGATGCTATGCTGATCCAAAGCCAGGAACCAGGAACTTCTTTCGGGTCTCCACGCGGGTGCAGGGTCCCAGGGCCTTGGGCGGTCCTCGACTGCTTTCCCAGGCCACAAGCAGGGAGCTGGATGGGAAGTGGAGCTGTTGGTGCCCATATGGGATCCCAGTGTGTTCAAGGCGAGGACTTTAGCTACTAGGCCACGCCGCTGGGCCCGGGAATGCCTTCTTGAAGTGACTGGGTAGAAGTTAATCTCATTATTTTGGCTTCTGACTCTCTGGCCCGGAGCTGTGGGCCTACCTGTACAATGGGTGCTGGATTCGTGAGCCCCTGGGGTGTGGGGAGGAGTCTGGTTTGGCCTATGTTGCCTGGCTCAGGGCCACTATCCCAACTAAGAGAACTGGTCCTCAATGTAGAGGATGGAGTACTGGATGGCAGATCATGGTGCATTTGGAGAACATACTAGATCATTGGGGCCTACAGAGGATATCTGATACCATAGCAGAGAATGAAGAACAAAACACATGGAAAACTACCCCAGCCAAACGATGACAGCAAATATCTGGGCGATTGGAGATTATAAGGTTAATGTGTCAGCCAGTGGACCTTGGAAGGGATTCCTCACCCACAGATTGGCGAGACCCACAGCACTTCAAAACGATTGCATCCACCTGGGCAGAACCCTCAGAGCGATGTGCCATATTGTAGCCCTGGGTTGATATCAGGTGGTCTTTCCCCATCCTCGGGAACTGGGATGGTTGGGAGGCTGGGTATAGCCTATCCCCCTTATCTGCCCCCTCCTGAAGAAATGGGAAGAAGAAATAGAAAGCTTGGAAACAACAACCACAGCCTCTTCTCTCTAATCCTAGATCCTTTCCACCATGATTGACTATGTAAACATCATCTAAAATTAAAAAAAAAAAGAAAATTCAAAGCTATAACAGTAAGCCAGGGTAACGACTCAGTTTTCCTCATCATAATTCTCGTATATTTGCCCTGCTCCTGTGGGCTGCATAGTTTTATTCATTTTTAAATTTAATTAATTAATTAATTAATTTTGGAAAGGTAGAGTTACA